ATAACGATGAATTTCAAAAAAGAGAAAGCGAAATTCTTGACGATATTATTATGGAATCTAAAGAATGGCTTTACCGTGAACAAACCGAAACTATTGGATATTATCCGGTGCTTTCTGAAAAATTAAAAGAAATCAAAGAAAAAGATAACGAAACTAAACTTCACGGGATAAAGGAGTTCCAACAATTAGTTCAAGAAAGAGAATTTAAAAGAAAAAGTATTGCTGACAGATATCTGCAAAATTATCTTAATTTATTGCAAAAGCATAATTCTGAGACCTAAATAATAGGTTTGAACATTGTGTCTCATTATTATTTGATAAAAATTTGTCTCGAATAAACTCAATAAAAGATAAATATTTGTACCTTTTATTATCGCAGTTAAACAATAATAATTAGGTTAAATATGCGTTAAACAATAATAATTAGGTTGAATATGCGTTAAACAATAATAATTAGGTTGAATATGCGTTAATGTTTCTCTGAGATGTTATTTAAATTGTTCAATTAAAGTAATTTAATACAAATTATTATTAGATGAACCGTCTAGGCGACAGTCTTAGAGCTTTAATTAACACATGTGGTAGAGATATTAAGTACAACATATTTGTTTACAACTTTCTAACCCGTCGAAAAACAGTCATCTAAGAATTTGATGTGACATTTGGAAAACAGTCAGAATAATTAACAAAGAATTGAAATTTATGTTAACAAAAAAAAGAGATAACACGTACTTAACAGATCTTAGCGCTATGCTGGGACTGGGACTGTTAGAAATTTTTTAAAAAATTCACGTGGATTTGTAATTCACAAATAGACAAATCACAGTATCAATATAGAACGTGTGTATTTGATAATACTATCAAGTAAACTATACAGTAGTTTATTTATATTAACTATAAATCATAATTCACATCTTATATGTAGAACGTATTACTTTAAAGATTTAGATCTGCAATATGCTGCTATGAACTGTAGGATTTCCAGTACTGTTACAATATAAAAAGCCAAAAAGCCTGAATTGATAATTACAAAATACTCAGCTAGAAAATTTGAACCTTTTTAACATTCACAAAACCAAATATGGCAAGTTTATAAGTCTGGTTAAAGACTGGCAGCAGTAAAATAGCCAAATAACAATGAAGTAATTTATCACATATATTATTTGGAATTTATTTTAATTTTAACATTTTTAATTAAAGGAAAGAATGAAAATGAGTATTCAGGTGTTTTCTTATATTTATAACTGCCTTAATCATTTGGTAAGTTATACAAATTCTTGTAATTTGGGCGGACAATTTCTGAACCAACTTTAATTGACAGGGTTTCTAGAAAATTATTCTTTCCTGAAGTTTATGAGCCAATCATACATGGAACCTTCGGAGTCAACCAATCAGTGCCATGGCATATATTTTGTTTGGTATATGAATTTATTGCTGAAATTATGATTGGAGAGTAATTCTTATAAAGGGACAGTGCCAATATAAATGTAAAATTATATACGGACGTCTTAATTGATTAATAATAAGGTCCCTTATATTAAATTTGATCCAAGATTTTTATTAAAAGATAAATAAGCGAACATCTATTTATTAAGATAGTAAAAAAAAAAAAGTAAAAAGAAATAAACAATACCACATATATAGAAGATTATAAAAAAAAAATAATGATAACTAGAAATTTAATTCTTACCATGTATCGGTATTGCTAAGCTATTAATAATATCTATATATACTGTATGGGCGAACAAGTTTAGAATATGCAATATCGATATATTTAATTCAGAAATTTTTCCATTTTTATTATAAACTTGTTTCTTATCACTATAGCGATAGTGATTGTACGAACAGGAGATCTACAATATGTAACACGTTTTGCAACTAATTTGCCTGTAAAATTTTCATTATTTGTACCGCCGTATTAAACTGTCCTAACCTTCAAAATTATGATCGAAATTATTATGCAAGGTTCTGCGCAAGTCACGGGCATCATTATTTTAATATTTATCGAGGCCCAGCACTTGCAATATCATAGCAGATAGTAATAACGGTACATATTACTTTTCATATAGCAACATATATTTAACACATATTTAGTATTTGAATCGGTAGTTAAGACGGCAAATAATTGCCCTTTATTATTCTCGTAGTACATGCCCGGAATATTAAAAACTCAGATTAGTTTATTAAAATCAAATTTTTACATACTTATTTAACTTTAATTTTTTTTTTTTACATTTATTTTTTGCGCTTACTTTTTTTATTTATTTTTTTTTTTGGTTTCCTGCATTATTTTACTTATTTATTTATTTATTGCCGCTTTTCTTTTTTGCCCTTATTTATTTAATGTAAACGGTTAGTGTTAGCATAAAATGTATGAAAAAAATACAAATCCGGAATTGAAACTAGTTTTTATATTTTTTTGGAATGAAAGTCTCTAAAACAATACGGTCTTGGTTTAGAGGAACATAAAGGCACTTTACATTTAGCACACCACAGATTACTTTGTGGGGGGTTGTCAGAATTAATTTCTCTTTCACCACATAGTGATAAATAACGACAATACACACAAGCTTCCCTTTTCTCTCTCCATTCGACTAAATGATCACTATCTAATAAACGGGTTAACGGCAATTCAAATTTTTTTGTCATATGCACAACACGTTTCCCTTTTGATGGTGCTTGTGATGATATTTCATCAGACGGTAATTTACTCTTTTTTTCATTACTTAAGGTATTCTTGATTAAATCTCAAGCTAAATTAATTCTGAATTCTTTGCTTGAGATATTCGTATCAGTAACCTTACGATGAAGAAGTACACAATTTACAATTACAGTATCCAAGATCCAGAAAAATAAAGAGAGCCATGTACGCCTAACTGTTAGTTGACAATTGTAGTATCCACGGAGTTGGTCAGCGATATCAACACCTCCCATGTAATGATTATAGTCATCAACTATTCGTGGAATTGCGAATTCCTTCCGATACGCATCTCCAAAAACACTACACACCACACTTGCATTAGAACTAGTTTCACGTGGTCGTCGTTGGTTATGAATAACTTTACAATCTTCACCAGATATTTCATGAATCGTAGATAGCATGGTCACCAGACCATTATTGATCCATAAAACAGCCAAAACATCGTTAACTACCTTACCCAAAAGTGTATTCCATTCTAAAAATGATTCTCTATTCTTTAATTCTTTAGGAAATCCAGCAGAATTAGTACGAGCAGTGCCACAAGCACCAATGCCTTTTTCACGTAAAAATTTAAAGAGGGGTATGCTGGAAAAGTAATTATCCATATACACGTGGTATATTTTATTACTAGGAAGTTTACTAACTAAATGCACAACAATGCATCCAGTTTGATTAAGGCCGGGAATTGATCTTATGGATGTATCCTTTTCAACACGTGAAGTAAACATAAATGCCCACGTGTACCCACGATCACATAACGAAATAATTTTGTACCCCTCTGGGGTTGGTTTATTCTTCATCTGTACTGTGTGTACACTTCGTCCAGAAAAACGTACAACCATTTCGTCGACAGAAACATTTGAGTTAGGAACATAAAATTTTTTAACAGCATCTTGTATGTGTGATGCAAATGGCTCTATTTTGGAATACCAAAATGGACGAGGTTCACCTAGAGGCGAAATATGAAAAAAACGTTTAATCTGTTGAAACCTAACCATAGTCATAAATTCTTTGATCTCATGTGATACTTTTTTTTCATCATTATTCCATAAATCTTCAATGGCACTAATTTTATGAACACCTATATAGATAATAAATCCAAGCCATATTTTTAACTCATTTAAAATTAACGGACTCCATGGACGACTGCCATCTCTACCTTTAACCTGTTCGTATGTATTTGTTTTCACTCTATTGATTGCAATTGCTCATTGGTAAAAAACAACTGAAAAAGTAAAAGCGGGGTAACGATTCCTAATTGATATTCACGGGGGAGTGTCGCATATCCTGTGTGAAGTGGTTGAGTATTTTGAATAGGATTAAAGGTAGGACACTTTAACATTTGTAATTCCGCATCTATGCTACTATTTGCGCTTCATTAATACTCTTCGCCTTCCCTCTTCCTCTACTCCTTCCACTACCTCTTCCTCTACCCCTTCCTCTACCTCTTCCCCTTCCGCTACTAGTCCCCACATCTAACTTTCTATGCACATGATCTTGTTTATTAGACTCGTGTCTTTCATTATTGGCGACTTCCACAAGTTCGTAATCGATTATTAATTCGCCATGAAAATTGCGCCAAAGCCGAATTACAGAATTTACATGTCCAAATAGAAAAAGATACTGTACCTTTTAATCAATGGAGGAGGCAAACATAGTTGTGACCGAATTCGCAGTCAATGACATGAATTCCTCTATTATGATTTTAAAGATTTATAATTTCCAAAAATTTCAAATTATTCCTAATAAAATATAATTAAGATGATGTTCTTTTAAAGTTGTCCAAATGTACGCTCATTATATTATATGCAACATACTTTATGCAGATCTCCCGCTATTATGTACTGTACTGTACTACTTTAACAAGTTTACAATAAAAAAGGAAAATTTTCTGAATTAAATATGTTGCATATTTTAAACTTGTATCTTTAAACAGTATATATATCGTATAATTAAATATATTGATAATAAATTAGTTATTGTAGTTATTGCAAGAAATGTATTTAATTAATATATTATTAATAGCATAGCATATATACACGGTAAGAATTAAAACAAGTTTTTATTTCTAGTTATCAGTATTTTTCTGTTATAATATTCTTTATGTATATATGGTACTGTATACAAAGTTGCTTTTTTTATTTTTAAGAATATACTAATAAATATATTAATTATTTTAAACTGTTCAATATATGGTGATGATATGCACTTGATTTGAAAATCGTATACATACTCATTTTACTATCACCATAAGCAAGTTTTTATTTCAGTTATATATTATACATAAGTAAACTAATATATTATTAAGTAGTATGTATATTGCAGATACTTAACCAGTAGATGTTATTATATTATAATTGCAGATCTTTTACAAATTTTAACCTTGTTTTTTTAAAAGTCGTACTCGAAAAAATTCAAATTCTATTAAACAAAATGATTTTTTCTATAATTTTAAACAAATGGCGTTCACATGGCCTTGTTCAGTCAATAGTCATGCATTGAATGTGTACTTAGTTCTAATATATGATTTACATATATAATATATTAATAAAATTATAAACAGGTAAACTCTAAATCTTC